TATTATTTTTTTTTTTTTGGTGGAACCAGGGATTGAACTGAGACCCTTGCACTTGCCAGGGAAGCGTTTATTCTACTGAGCCATCTCCCCGGCCCCCAAATACATTTTAGAACATGTAATTAAATAGAACCATATGCTACTTTTTGGACTATTTTCATACTGCTTAGTTTCTCATTGCATATTTCTAGTAAAAGCAAAGTTTTTTTTTGTTTGTTTGTTCTCAGAGCTCACTATGTAGTTAACACTGGCCTTGAACATACTGCGTAGCCTAGGCTAGCTTTGAACTCACTGTAGTCCTCCTGCCTCAGCCTTTCAGGTGCTGAGATTATAGGCTTGTACAAAGCATTTTGTGATTGATAGGTTTTAGAACTTCTTCCATAGAAAACTACTTTTTTTTTTTGCAGTACTGGGGATTGAACTCGGGCCCTTGCGCTTGCCAGGCAAGCACTTATTCTACTGAGCTATCTCCCCAGCCTGAAAACTACTTATTTTGAATACTCTCCAAAAATATGTGTTTTTTTTTTTTTTTTTTTCTGTAGGAGGAAGAGGAATTAAACCTTTCCTGGAACGCTTTGGAGAGCGTTGTCAGGAACGCAGCAAAGAAAGCCCAGTTCGTAGCACGCCCCACAAGACTCCTGTTGTTACCCCAAACACAAAAGCCATCCAAGAAAGATTGTTCAAGCAAAATGCAGGTTCATCTACCACCCATGCAGCACAGCAGCTCAAGCAGGTATGCCTTACTGCATGACATTGTATTTATTGCATGGTCTTAGCACAGAATGGAGAAATCAGAATGTGATTTCTGATGCTCATCTCTTTGGCTGAGATAAACAGTATCTCAGGTGTCTGCCCCTCGCTGCAAAATGGAATATTGTCCTGTATCCAATGTGTATTGCAAACTCAAGTTGAAGAGAAGGAAAGCCCTAGTTGCATTTGGGTATTGTCCTTCCACCTGCTTCCAACCTTCATGTAAAATGCGTCTTTTTGATGGATTTAGGAACGCCAGAGAGAACTAGCATGTCTCCGCGGCCGAGTTGACAAGGGCCATTTATGGAGCGCAGGGAAAGGCGGGGACTCAGCAAGCAAGCAGACCGAAAGCACACAGGTAACGTGAGCGGGAAATGGGAATTCCAGTTCAGTACCAGAGCCGTGCTGGCGTTTCATTGGTAGCTTGTATTGCAAAGTAGGATTTTATAAGCTTGTCTTTTCCAGTTAAGTCTGACACTTTGCACCCATCAACCCCTAAATGTACAGACAGCTCTACTTTTCTCATCTTTCCCATTGTTGTGGGACTCTTCACCACGTCCACTGATTCTGCTTCGATCCTGGTTCTGGAAGGTGTACTTTTCTCATTGATGTGGCTTCTGCTGAAATAGCCTACTTTCTACACAATTTGCAGTCTTCTCAGCTACCAGTGCAGCCTAGAATCTGACAAGAATCTGTCCATTCTTGTCAAATTTCATAAACCAGCATTCTAAAATTCCCCACTTAAAATGTAAGCTATGTTCTACTTTATGTCCATAACTAGAATGTATTAGGATATATTTTTGAACTAGTAGAAATATATTTATAGTGGTGACCAAGAGAAAGAAGAGGAAAATCAGAATTCTCTGAGAAGGATCTATTTGATTTTGTCTTGCCAGTTCTGTAGCTTAATGTCTGTTCCCAGATTCTTTTTTTTTTTTGGCGGAACTGGGGGATTGAACTCAGACCCTTGCACTTGCCAGGCAAGCGCTTATTCTACTGAGCCATCTCCCCAGCCCCTGGTCCCAGATTCTGACCTCGGCCTTTTCTTCCTGCTTTCCTGGGTTGCCCTGTTCTTGGTCAGGTCTGGGTTCAGCCAAGTGCAGAGGTGGTGATGGCTCTCGGCTGTGCTGTGCTGAACTCGAGGCGTGGTTGGCGGGCAAAGCCTACTGCATTAGCTTCCCTTGTCCTTTCTCTCTGCCTTGTGGCTTTGGTCTGTACTTTGCCATCTAAAGTACTCTGGTAGTTCTTCCATGGCGCCTTCCTGTTTACTATGTCTTCCCTCTGATGGCCCTCTGCTGCACACACATAAACCCAGGCATCCAGTGACAAATTTTCTAGCTTTGTCACTCAGCTTCCTGCTTTTGTCATAGTCAGTACCACAGCTTTGTGTTGGGTAACTTGCTTTTCTTCAGCACCCTCACTCAGGACTGCCAGAGAATGTAGGGACTTTTTGGTATACCTTGGGGAGAAATGGCAACAGGAATGAGGAAAAGATAGCCATGAGACAAGAGTTGGGTTCAGTGGAGGCCTCTTTCCCTGATAGACAAAGGACCTGTACAACAGTAGAGATGTTTATTTATACCTTTGCAAAATTAATGTCAGGAGACACAAGGTTGCCTAGTGACTAATGGCTGAAATTGTCCAGGCAGGATGCTTGTCTGAAGACTGAGGTAGGCCACTGCTTTAGGCACTGTGGCCTCATCCTGTCCTCCTACTTAGGATGAGTTTCCAGCTTCAACTACTCCCAACAAGAGAAATCTCTTCTGGGGCCTCGTGCTTGCCACACAAGCACTGTAACACTGACCTGAACTCCCAGCTCCAGAGAAATACTTGTTAGAGGCAATATTTATTTTATTTTATTTTATTCAAACCAAACTGGTAGG